CGTATACGAAGGACGGGTACTCTGCTAGTAATTAATATAGCAATTGAAAGTTCTATAGCAAATAAGTTGTCACAAAAGTAAGTATATTTCATATTTCGTCTATCGTATTACCTTTAATGCGGCCAATGACGATATATGACGATATAGCGATAGTTAGCAACCATAATCAATGGGAGTACAATAAATGTTATGGGCATAAAAGTAAAAAATTGAGTCATTAGAAACCAAAGATCCACATTAATTGTAGGTAACATTTGTAAGTTTATTTGTTGTGAAAAATTAACTACAGCTTTACTATACTTCCACAGTCTACCACTGTAGGCCTACCGTTACTGTAGTTTTGTGAAGGTTCACTTTAGTTATCGAACACAAATGATTCTACATACTGTACAGTCTTCAGCACCTTCCAGTACTAATTCCTGTGTAACACTTATTTTTCTGTTTACTGTTTGGATCCTTCACAGTTCAAAGAGACTTATAACGAAATATCACACTCTTTACAATATCAACAAATTACTGGGCTGCGTATTCTTCATTAAATTTACCTTTACACGAACCCTCTTCTACAATACTTTCATTTTTTTATTTTATACCTACATGGCAGGACAATAAGAGCAAGTAAATTTGCATTTAGACAATTAGACTTCTAATAAATGTTTTTAAATTGTAGAAAATAATATACCTTAAACAAAAATAAATGAATATTAAACTAAAAGATAGTAACGGGTGACTAATCCTTGCTGAGTTTGGTTAATTACATTTAATTGTTAAAGAAATATACTACACAGACATGTTTTATTACAATACAAATATAATTCTATTAAATACCATAGAAATTTCATCGCAGAACTAATAACAACTTGAATAAGGTATGCAATTAAAAAAGGAATATTTAAGATCCTACTCCAGTTTTTTTAAACATTTATCATGCAAAATACGATTATTTTTATAGGTAAGGGGCATAATTTATCTCTCGGTACCGGTACCACACTAGACTTTTCGTTGATTAGTTTAAGCCGAAAACTGGTAAGTCCTATTGGAGCATAAATCTTTTACTGGAAAGATTATTATAATGAAATAATTAATTTAAATAATTATGTAACTAATTAGACCTGTCCATATTTTGTTTCAACTATAAAAAATAGTGTTTACAATTTGTACAATCTACCATTAAATACGGGTGAAACATTGAGTTGACGCCTGTGCACTCAAACGACACCAACTGGAAACACATTTATTGAAAATAATTGTTGTGCATTTGATAACAATATATCACTATTATTTAAACAAATTAAATGCTAAATTGATTCGTTTACGATAGCATACTTTTAATAAGCGGATTTAAAACAATTGATTTATTTACACAATATTCGTCAATTAATAATCTGAGCCCTATCTATAATTACAGTGCCTTGTGATTCAGAACGCAACCCATATACATCACAGTTACGCAAACAGTATTTGAATAGTAAAGGGAGTTAATGTACAAATGTTGGTCAGTCGAACGCACGGGAATCGAGTAGTCAATTTTTTAAACAGTTTAATTCAGAACAGCTATTTACACATATAAAGACCAAAAAACTATGTCGTATAAGTCAATTCTCATATCTTCAACGATTAAGCGATAGTTTGCAGAACAATAAGTATTTTCAAACATGACTTAAAATTGTTACAACAAAACCTTTTACTTAGGTACACAAATTGAATCTCCAACAAAACTTGATTAGACGCAAATGTTTGATATACAGTTGAACATTTTACATTTTTTGATAAAACACATTCTTTGTAAGGAAAAAATTAAATTTCACTTGAATTAGGTTACAGCAGACATTCGCTAGTTGTGGGGAAAACTAAATATAATTTAACGTTACAATTTCAATTTAATTAAATTTGAAACTACCTGTTTGTTACAACAACCGGAAACAACTTCAAATATTTAGCGTTGGTTACTAGTACACTATTACAACTTAATAGTTCAGCTCAAATAAACCACGACAAATTCATTATCTTTTCATTTTTCAAATGATTTATTCGGGATTCTCTTACGGAGTAAACAAAAATTGTCATAAGCTATAAAAATAAGTTATTATTTGTTTAAGACGTTTGCCAGATAATTTAGTATTGTTATTGTCAAGGTTAATACTTAAACCATCTTTTAAGAATAAAAATAAACACGTTATTTTACTTTTGAAAATAAATAGTAAACAATACCAACACTAGCCCTGCATGCCTTCAAAGTCCCATATATACATGTATGTATGAATGCGTGTGTATTTAAGTGTGTGTACTTGAAAATACTAATAAAAAAATATTAACTAAAATATCAATTAACGAAACAAATAACCATTAACGTTGCTGGTGACGACGTGTGTTTACGCCTTCAATCTAAGAGACGCAACAGTTCTAGCATTTTGGATGTTCCGATCTGACTTGTAGCGTTTTGGAAATTCCGACCCGGCATATGATCACAAGTTCCAAAGTGAAAAGGACAGTCTATTTCATAAGTTTACTTTAAGAAATAAATTTGTACTTCTAGTTATAACTGTACTTTTGGATCTTACGATTTTGGAACTTCCGATCGGCAATATTTTCTTTGGATCTTTTGATTTTGGATCTTCCGACCCGCTAAATAAACTTTGGAAATTCCGATTTTGGAAGATCCGATCGGCAATATAAACGTTGGATCTTACGATTTTGGAACTTCCGATCGGCAATATATTCTTTGGATCTTCCGATTTTGGAACTTTTGAAATACTCCCGACGGAGAACATTATCTCGAGGAAAGCGTCACCGAGTTAATAATTAGTCAGTACTATAGTGCTTTATGTACGCAGACAAATATGTAATCGTATTCTCCAACAAGTCCTTGGAAGCTCTCGAAGTCAAATCTTACATTGCCCTGAATGTTGCGTTACTACTGTCAAAACATCCAACATTGTGTTTAATTAAGACAAGACCAAGCAACTGACATTCGGTAAAAGATACTTTCCTGGCCTATCGAACCTTGACATCGTGAGTTCTACAACGATCACATCGTTGGAGTTCTACAACACACCTAGAAGGATGACCATCGATGACATCTTTACATGATACCTCATGTAGATGTCCTCTGCATGTATAGTTAAGCAGCACATAATTCGCAATTAGAACAATCATGGCCACCATCAGTACATTTTGAAACATTAACTATATAACACGTAGTGTTATATAGTCAATGATTGGAAACGGCAAGAGTCACGAGCATACTCCTTCGAGAGTAACATGACGTTGGCATAGCTCTCTGGGGAGAATCATCATCTTGCGCCAATCTGGAAAGAGTCCTACTATATGCTCCAGAAGAGAGCCATACGAACAATGGCAAGGTTGGGTTGGTGAGATAGCTGCAGAATGATGTATTTGGGAGCAGTGGAATTCCAGATGCTCTATCATCAGCCTCACAAGAAATGGCTATCTCCACTTCTACAACACCACGCATGCTGGAGACTTCTATACCATTAAATAATTTATGAACTGGAGAGACTTTATTATCTGAAGTATATACATAACACAATTTCACCTTTTAAAAGATAAAAAACAACATTCCCCTATGACGTCTGTCAAATATTTTGATTAAAAGTCTCTCTCTCTCTCTCTCTCTCTCTCTCTGTCCCTCTCTCTCTCTCTCTCTCTCTCTCTCTCTCTCTCTCTCTCTCTCTCTCTCTCTCTCTCTCCCTCTCCCTCTCTCTCTCTCTCTCTCTCTCTGTCTCTCTCTCTCTCTCTCTCTCTCTCTCCTCTCTCTCTCTCTCTCTCTCTCTCTCTCTCTCTCTCTCTCTCTCTCTCTCTCTCTCTACCGAAATGAAAACAACTAAGAAACTCACGCCTTTTGAGGATCGCAATACCTTTATTATCCTTACTTTTAATTATTATAAATTTTATACTTTATTACTTGACTTATTTTATTAAAACCAAAATAAGTGTTTATAGATAGCTATAATCTCCCACTTGGAATAGAGGGGACTCCCTATTTTGTTGACTCGGGTCAACAATATTAGGTAAATAGCAAAATAGGTAAATATTTTTTAATCGTTACCAAATTTTACATACGTGTAGAATACATGTTGACATACCTTCATTCCCCGTTTCAAGTAAATATCTACATTCTAAGTGGTTATTTTGCTAAATGTATTGAATTTGTTGACCCGGGTCAACAAATAAATTAAGCTAGGCTGTTTATGGCGTTTTTTTTTATAATAAAATAGGTAAATATTTTTCAATTGTTACCAAATTTTACATACCCGTAGAATACAAGTAGATAAACCTTCGTTCCAAGTTTCATGTATATAGTTTAATTCTAGGTACTGTACCTTTTTTTGGCGATTGACCCAGGTCAACAAAATAAAATTATCTATTTACGACAGTTTTTTGTTAATAATATAGGTAAATATTTTTTTCGTTGCCAAATTTTACATACGTGTAGAATACATGTGGATATACCTTCGTTCCAAGTTTAATGGAAATATCTACATTCTTCAGTGGTTATTTTGCTACATATATTGAATTTGCTGACCCTGGTCAACAAAATAGTCAGTCCCGGAATAGAGTGACGGCTATCAAACCCTTGATCCTAAGCATTTTTGAAATATTACTTGATATTATTTACTCTTAACTCTAAGCTATAGTACGAACTATACCTAGTTCGAATTGATATGATTCTAAGACATTGACATTGTTTACTTTTGAATTTTTATCCCTTAGAAAAGTAAAGTTTTGACGTTCATCGGAATCAATATGAAAATTCACTACACAGATTTATTTGAAAAGATCTACATTCGTAATTTTTTGTTTTGATGTTTATTGCACTTTGAATTAAGAATTCCATTAATACAAAATCCTAGAACAAAAAATATAAGGAAATACAGCTTCATATCAACTTACTTAGGCTAGCCAACTTGTGCTAGAGGCTACAGATGATTTGTTGTTTTTTGTTACAGTGTTTGTGAGTCGTGTTGTGTGTAGCAGAAGACGAAAAGGAGAAGACAAATGTAAAAGGCGATAGAAAACATAAGCCTGGGTGAAAATCTAAATTGTTTGGCAAATTTCCATGTTATTTTCTTATGTACTGCTACTAAACTGATTTTAAACCGAACTCAAAATGGCCTGTCGATTATATTCTAAATTCAGCAGCATTCCCGCTGTTATCTCATCGAAGTTATTTGACGCAAGCACCCACTCTGCCCGAAATGTAAGTGTAAGCTTTTAGGCTAGTCTTCGAAATGATCAAGTAGCCTAGGCCTTTCTTCTTGAATAGACATAGTTTAGCCAAGCACGTACCTAGGGGGACTTGAGGGACTTATACCCCCTTGAAATTTTCAGGGAAAGGACAAAAATTGTGTCAGACTTACAAAACTCACTGGCATTAACCATTAAACATAGGAACTGTACAGGACCTTATTCGTTTAATTTATAAACAATCAAAACTTGGGCGTATAAGTTATGTGTTGTTAAACTATATGCATTCTAACATACAAAAGCCTTTCGCATTCTTTTGAATCGCTATTATTTATAAGTATAACTTAGGCCTAAACTATTCATTCATGGAATAGGCTACGTTTAAAGTTGACTTATGTGATAGACCCGACCTCCCCTCATCAATTTAGCCCCCCCCCCTCCCACATGACCAAGTCCTGAATGTAGTGCTTCATTAGTATACCTTTTTAGTGTTTATAATGTTTGTTTGGTTAGTAATTATTTTTAAATGTGTTAGTTGGAATCCCTTCTATAAGATGAAATAAAAATATAATTCAACCTGTAATTTAATTGCCGGTATTTAAATTAAAGGTCAAATTACAGTATTTTTTTAAAAGGTTAATAACAGGGTTATAACTTATTCTGCGTAAATGGGTCATAGTCTTAAAAAGGGTTTGGGGTAAGTATCGGTCATATCTACCTGGAGACAATCAATGTCTAGCTGCGATTGCTAGCTGCTTATCTGAAATGAGACTAAAACATCAGTGTTTGCTTATAATTAATTTTGTGACATGTTAAGACTAAGTTTGTAGTTTTTTGAGCCAAATTAATGCACAGCTGGTGATATATTTTGTAAGTTTAACTTACATGTCTCTGGGAAACCGCTTACAACTATTGAACTCTTTTTTTTTAGCATTTTTCAATCAATGCAGGAAGGAAACTAAGTAACAGAAACTTACCTAACTTACCATTAGAATTAAATTCACTCTATTTTGATTACCTTTCAAAGTTGTCCCTTCATGATCATGTAATTGTCAAAGTAATGGGGAAAAACAAAACTTGCTATCGTTTATATGTTGCAAAAGTTATTGAATTTGACGAGGAAGGATAAATAGGAAGATTCATCAAGAAAATTGCGCAAACCAACAAGTTCTGAGAGACAGATTAAGAGGCCCTCTTCAAAGTCGATGACGTAGTACGATCGGCTTCCAACTCCCAAGCCGTGTACAACCTGTAGATTTAAGGGAGTGTTGTATTTTGAGGAAGATTTGTCTGATTTTACTCTTCATTTAGTTGGTTTCTATGTAAGATTTTGTTACTCTGATTTCACCCATTGTCATTTATGTTCTCCGATTTGTTTGGATAAGGGTTTATGAAAACGACGTTTTTATACTTCGTACTTATAAATAAATGTGTTAATTAACTTTAAATATTTTTATTTACAACAACCTAAGCTAACAAGCATAAATTTCATGTTTCTATTGCCCCTGGTAAGTGAGGAAAAGCAACAATCATCAATTTAACACAGTGTTTCTATTCACCCCAAAGTGCGGGGTGAATAGAAACAGCCATATTTTATTTTTTTTCTGCTTAATGATTAAAAAGAAAAAAAAATTGAAAACTGGTTTGAGTAGAGGAGTTCAAGACCGAAAATATGAGCTAGTGTTGAAAATTTAAAAATTAAAAATATCGGTTTTACAGAAGCTTAAAAGTCAAAAAGTGTTTCTATTCACCCCATTCTACGGTATTCAAAGAATAAAACTAGTTGCCTAGATCCGTTGGCAGTTGCTTGGTTGAGTTAATCTACTCAATAACATTAATTTTTCCTCTGCTTATATGAACCAAGCCAATATTAGATGTCGAGAGAGAGTAGGCTTAGACCCTGCTTAGTACAACCCTGTGCCGAAATGTCTGGTTTGGGCTTGTCTTTTATTGCAGATAAGTAGTATGTTCGACTATTGATTGAATGAGACATCCCATTCTAATTTTAAAACTGTAGCCAGGTTTAAAATGAAGATGGACGTGGTTTGATTGAGCCAATAACAGATAGGCAGTGGCGTAACTAACGCCAATGCAACCAACGTGGTGCATTGGGGCGCAGGCCTTCAGGGGGCGCAAAACACTGATATTCTGGATTCTTACATTCTGTTTAGCTAAAAAATCTGTTGAAGTAAAACTTCTTGTAGCTTACCGAAAATAAATGTAAAAAAAATATTAGTGTTTCTATTACAATCACAACAGAATGTTGGTGACTCTTTTGTTTACTATTATCATCGTTAAATCTACTCGATGGGACTGTGCACATGCGCTTATCGCGTTCTTATCAAAAGAATTTACTGCTTTTGTTCATTTATCGTTGTTAGCTACAAAAATAGACAGATAAAATCTTTCATTATTATATAAGTAACCACGGTCACGTGTCCTTGTCAGTCCTTGTTGTACGATCAGTAGGCCTAAGTGTTATTTGTTTTATAACAATACAAAACACATTTTGTCGGTGTATTTGTTATTCAAAATTAGGGGACCGTTTATTTTTGCGTTATAGTGGATTTCGTAATGATATACTGAACAAAAGGGACAGAAATAAAAAACCTAGTGGTGCCGAGTTCCGAAAAAGGAAAAAACAAGAAGATAAAAAAGTGAAAAAACTACCAATGATTGATACGTTTCTTTTATGTTACAGGGAATAGGAATTTACGTACAGTGTTGTAACTATGAGCTGTAGCATTGACTATAAACTTACTGTAGGTATATATAGTCAATGGCTGTAGCCAGCTCTTCGACTGTAAGAATGCATCATCTAGTAAAATTAATCAAATTTTGAGAAACGGAACATGAACATTATATTGTAGCCTGCAATATCATGTAGGACTGTATACGGCACTGAATAAATATAAAATTTTATGTAAAGTAAGAAGTAGTCTATATTTTATCGTCCTAAAAAGTACAATTAATTGTAAGTATCTAATGTGATCCTTACTTCAGTTATACCTACGTTAATGGTGTTTGGAAAATAAATGTTTAGTAGCTTAATTTTTTTTCAATTAGTTTTATAAATAGGCCCTAATATTTTTTTCAAATAATAACTCTAAAATTACTCTACACAATAAATTATATTTCTTTGAATTATCTTTCTATAATTGGATAGAGCTTGTACAATGTCATGTGTACTGAAATAGTATCCAGGAAGTGTGGAAGTACGGAAGAATAATGTCATTTAGTTTCGCTTGAGATTATGGTGGAGCGGAGAATGAGTCAACAAATAGGGGCGAACGGGCACGGGTAATACTTGCATTGGGGCGCAGTCAGACTAGTTACGCCACTGCAGATAGGGCTGCCATCAATTTTCTTATCTCTGTAAAATATGTAAATTGATAACCAATTCAAATAACGTATCAAAAACTAAAGAATATTTTATGTAACACCAAATATCACAGTAGGTACCGAAAATAGGCACTCTGTGAGTTTCTCATTTGCCATCTTCAATTTCAACCAAATATTGGCTATAGCTGGTCTATATAAATGAGATGTCTATTTCAGTATCCAAAAGTCAATGTTAGTAGATAGTTAATTACAGTTTGAATAAATGATTCCAATATTCAATGCACTGGACCTTGCAACGTGCATATTTTACTATTGTTTTGTTACATACAGCTGCAACTTAAGTCAGCTGTTTGGTTGCATAGTGCCACCATGCATTGTTGTAATTGGATCAATTTTTATTCTAATAGGCTACACTGATTTTGAGACTAGAAGAGGCGTCCATGTATGGAAATAGTAAATATTCAACTTCTGTTATAAAACAATTTTTGAAGCAAAATTTTGTCCATTGTAAATGATGGTGAATAAATGAATACTGTAGGCGAGAGTTAAGAAGTCCTCTGAGCACGAGCGATATGGCGATATGCAGCAATGTTGGAATGTTGCCGCGCGGTATTTGCAGGTGCACCACCCTCTCTCAGCAAGGGGCGAGTGACATTTCACAGAGTGACGCTTGACGAATACTTGTCACATCACAACAGATGAGTAATACAGATACAATCGCTTGAGTTGCTTCACTTCACTGCTTCAGAGTTCAGTGCACCACAAAGTATTCTTACGGTGAGGGTGGTTTTTGCAGTTTGGTATTAAGCAGGTGTAAATATACTCTTATTACAATGCATTTGATTTTCCTTGTTAGTTTTAGGTAAAAAGCATTTATTATATTATTCAAATAATCGTACACACAATACTATTGGTGTGTAATTATTATAACTATGCACTTCGACTATGGAATATACATAACGTAAATTTTACACGAACATTAACATGTTTAACGCTGTGGAAGTGAGTCTTGACTGCCGCGTGGAACATGAGCATGTGTTGAGCCGTCGAGTAACAAGCGCCTGCATTTTTAGAATAGGCCAGGGCTCAGGGGACTTCTTAACTCTCGCCTACAGTATCAACTATAATACTGCAGACAAATACTATGAGCTTTTACAAAATAACCTCATTGCACAATGTTACTTGTGTTATTTGTTGGGAATTTCAACTCATTATGCATAACATTGTGGATTCTTTTTTCATTGTAAGGCATTCTTCATTCCGTAGGCTACAATTACTTCTCTTCAAACATCCTGCAATGTTTTCTTCAGATCGCAAAGGGTAAAGTAGGTAAAATAAGCTTACTAACTGATTTGCACCAGATGTGTTTTATTCTTTGCACATTTGCATGTCTATTTATTCAACTCACATGGATGTATAACATTAGGATTTTAAAACTTGACTCAGGTTACATATAAAAAAATAAAAACTATAATAGTTTTTTTTTATTTGACTCAAAACCAGAGAAGAGATATCTGCCCAATTGAATTTGTAAAATTGAATCATAAATAGTTAACACACTATTGTTTTATAATTTATTCTTAAGGTTACATATAAAAAAATAAAAACTATAATAGTTTTTTTTTATTTGACTCAAAACCAGAGAAGAGATATCTGCCCAATTGAATTTGTAAAATTGAATCATAAATAGTTAACACACTATTGTTTTATAATTTATTCTTAAACTAGTTTAAGATATAAGATCAACATATAAAGGCCTGGTGATTTTATGTTGGTGAAAATAAAGTTCTTGCATAAAGCATTTAAAAAAATGCCATTTCAAAAGTAATATAGATACTGAATGCCTAAACAATTTATTTTAACTCACCTTTTTAAGTACAGTACTTGTTTTAGGTGATTACAATGGATGAGGTGCTTTTCTACCAAACATTTTTTTCTCAAGTAAAAGTTACTAAAATTACCGTACTTTATTTTTCATGCTTATATAAGCAACACAAGCTGCACAGAATAACATGTAGAAACCTTTTTAAAATTTAAAACTTGAACCAAAATTCCAATTTAAAAATTCAAACTCTAAGGTAACCTGTTTTCAAATACTTAAGTGTCAAGCTTTTAAAACCCCAGTGTTGGACGTTTGCAGATAATTTTGAGAAAATCTGTTTACAGGTGAATCAATTGTTAATATCTTTTTTTGTGTTAGGCAGCGACTATGTCAGCTTTTGATCTACAGCACAAGACTCCTGTGCAGAGAAAAACTGTAAGTCGAATGATTCTGTTTTGACCTACATAATGCTTGTACTTGGCTTTGGTTTCGTCTAATCTTTCTCTGAGCTTTGTTTGTTACTCACCGTGTGTGCATTCTAGGATGGATCTTATCTGTGTGCTAATAAATGTGTATTTATAACAGTGCAATAAGCCTATGGTCCCAACTGTTTAGATGATTTATGATAGTAAAATAAGTTTTGTATGAACATTCTTACTTGTGCAACCTTTAAAACCTGTAAGAATTTAAACATTGCATGAAAAATATATTTTAAAGTTTTAACTTAAATTTTAACCACCAATGCTTATACAGCTAAAGCATCAAAAGCTTATAATATTATTTGCGGTTGGCATGTTTCCTTCTCTGAACTGAACTAAGTAAGCAATTGACTTCACAAACAGGAAAATTCAACAATTTAAGAGATTTCACGTATCCCAGAAAACTTGGAATTTTTAGTGTCCTGGAAATCCTGAAATAGTCCTTCTTTTGGCTCTCTGTCCTGGAACTCTTTCTTTTGTCATGATATTGTATTATTTGTCCTAAAATTCAGATTATATTTCATACTCCTTACACCCACAGTGATTTTGTTGCAAAATGCTTACATATTGAGTAGGTACTGAAATAAAAAATAAAGAAACATTTTCTATTGTCTTTTGAATTTTCTGTCTAACTCAATGTACACCAGTTCTTATAGCTTAACTATGTCTATTTAATATGTTAATTGATGGTTGGGGGATTCAAAATGAAAGAAGCACATCCATCAAACACTTTTATCAGATTTTTACATGTTTTGTACTAAATAAGTCTTTAAATTTGCAAAGCAAACAGCAGAGCATGGTTTATAATAATGGTTGTGTGGTTTCTGTTTTGGCAATGGTTTATAGTTTTCTAAATTTCAGTTAGATTTTAAACACAACAATTAACTTGAATTACACATTCTGGAGTGGGAAAATGAAAATAGAAACCCATTGAAATACCCTTAAAAATTTTGAGTACTGTATTTCACAAAATGGAAGAGCTGGATGCAGTCAAAGATCAGAATCAAAAAATCTCTGAAAAAAATCACCAATAAGCTATCCAAGGCATATACATACCTACACTATTTTACCACATTTCTCAGGCTTTAAAATTTTTTAAGAATTATAAGAATTTAACTTTAAGAATGTAACTTTAAGAATTTTTAAAGTTTAAAGAAAACACTTTTTATACTTGATAAAGTCTTTTTTTAGTGACTTATAACAGTTGTCAATACCAAAGTAAATCCAAAACTTAAAAATATGTATTCTAGATTCATACTTTTGTGACATGTATTTCAGCTTATTTCAATATGTGTCCTTGAATTATGCTACTGACAATGTGTTATAGCTCTCACAGTCATTAACTGATGTATCGGATGGGCCACAACCTAAATGTATTGTGTTGTCTAAGGACCGCCTATCCTGGCCAAAGCTCAAGTTTTAAATGATATAGACAAGTAATTGTCTACTCAATGGCTACCCTCAACCTAATACTAATCCCCCTCCCCCCCCATCACAGGATGATGTGTCAAATCTGACGAATAACTTTAGTTCTAATCCAAAATACAGACAGTGAAACAGTTGGGACCATAAGTGTCAGTGTTGCCTTTTCAGGATGTTTAATTAAAGATGAGAAGCGGAGTCAACTGTGTTGTCGTCATTTGTTGTTTATTCTTCTTTCTCTCACACTAGATTGTTCTGACAGATTGCCGTCCCTAAGGCCCAATACGGAGGACGGCACACAGTCACCATGCTGCCAGGTGGGGGAATTGGTCCTGAACTCATGAACTACGTGAAAGAGGTTTTCAGGTAATTTTATTTTTATTTCATCCATAAATTAAACTGATTCAGATTGCATGAATTTAAATCTTATTTTTTCCAACCAAAGTTCTATTCCTCGGAAAAATGTACCACTAGACCTAGGTATCCATTCCACAGCTTAAACTTGAGGAGTGGTGTAAGCAAGATCCTTTAAGATTTAACCATCAGTATGTATTTGTAGTCTTGGAAAATTTGCATCACTATACTATTTTGTCGATTATTAAAATATAACATTTTGAATTAACTATTTTGGTAAAAAAAAAAAAAAAAAAAAAACAATTCTCTTTGTAACATTTTAAAATTGAGTGCAGAAAATAAGAATTGTACCGCCAAACGTTCTTCAATTTTACAAATTACAAATTCAAACTTCTAGTATTTATATTTTTCAAAGTACAATATAATTTAAATTTAGTAGGGATTTTGGAGAGTTGCAAAATGTACAAAATTTTTACTGTTTAATTAATCACAGTTTCATCATGTCTGCAAGTTAAAACTCGTCTTTTAAACCTTGCTAAATCAAAAACAAACATCATTTATTCATTCTTCACTAGTGCACCTGTTGCTCGAATTCGAGCAATTACAAAGTATTACAGGAGTTATTTCAAAACAAATGACAGTCATAATTTCCGATAAAAGAGTCAACTCAAAGATAATTTTATCAATCACTCCACTCCAGTTATCGAAACTTAAAACGAACACACTCTGAAAACGAACGCTCACTCCACTCCAGTTATTGAAACTGAAAACGAACGCTTTTGTGCGTATTATGTATTTACTATGAACAGCTGTTTTAGTATGCAATTAATACAAATTATTTGTATGTTTAAGTAAACAAAATCTTTTCTTCTTAAGATAATCATTAGGATTTTGATGGCCTGTGGGGCAAAGCCCGAGGACTTTTATTACAGTAATTGATGAAAGGGGGCGTCTACACAACAAATACTTAATTTTGACACCTTGTTTGTAAAAATCCGTCCATTATTAACGGAGGAGTAGTGTTTCGTAGAAATCGCCTTCACGTATTATATATATAAGGATATGCACATGTACAATGAATGGCATCATGATTGGTTGTAATATAAATAACTAGTTTTGTGTTGATATTCCAACCAAAAAACAACACCAACATGTGTATTGTTGGGTTTTGTGTTGATATGATCTTAAACAAAAAAGTTGCCAATGGTATAAATTTGTGTTTGTTTCATACAAATAGTGTTCCAATGTTGTGTTTTATGAATGTATTTGTGATTGCAATTTATGAATTGAGAGCAGGCAATTTAATATGGATAGGTATGACATTTTCTGTGGGCTAGTTTTATTTTCAGGAAGTTTTTGCTGTTCCCGTTTTGTTAGTACTGTAAATTCAAAAACAAGTCAAATAAAGAACATATAAATTTGGATTAGTATTCATGGTGTCTAGCTAACCGGAAAAACTATGGATTGTATATGAATCTTGATTATTGGAGAAATATCAATAAATAGTCGACGTCTATAGCCTATGTCCATTGCCTATACATTACCGGAGTTGGACTGTCCATTTTCTTTTACTTTAAGTTTCTTAAAGTAACATACTAAATATGAACATTAAGTAATAAAATCTCAACTGTTGGAAATAATGAAGATGTTGACATCTAGAGCATTGAATGGTCCCCTCAAATCCATCCATCATTGGGGATTTCCATCACTTTCCATGACTTCTTGCCTATTTCCATGACTTTCAATGACCAAAAATAGACATGATAGTGAGGGATGATCACAGATGTGCCAATGCAGGAGATGATTATGATATCACTGTTATCACAACAGTTGCTCACAGATATTGCCGTAATTGCTTCTTCAATGTTTCAATAGTTCTAGTTTTGGTTTAGACAAATGACTAATGTAAGTAAATAAACAGTCAAATTAAGAAATTTAATCTAATTACTGAAATATTAAAGGTACCTAGGGACAGATGTACTGTTGCTGAATTTGCGAACAGCCCGACGCCATGGTGCATAGCCATCAACACGTGCCCTGTTGGTACCGAAGTGCTAGTACAAACATTTTAACATCTGTTCTTGTTTGGTACTTTTCTGAAATCACTGGTGGTACTGAGAATTCTATTGGTACCGATACATCACTAGTTTTAAGATTGTAATATTGAACGATGCCTTAGAAAAGCCCCTTAAAAAATCTTTAGACACTTGTCAGAATTGACGAATACAAATTTACAATACTTTACTCTACCTTGTGATTCTGCATTGATGTAACAGATTACACCGTTCGCAGCTGATGTGGCGTCATCATCAGAAATGTACAAAAACAGCAAACTTATTAGATACAAAATAGGCCTATAAGATAAACGCAAAACAAAGGCAAACCTGTAGGATTACTATTTGCAGAATCACAGGTGAATAGGCTACATTTTGTGTGCTCAACTCAACTGTCATAGTAAGGTAGTGTACAATATAACTGGGTAGTTGTGTGGTTATAATGCTCGAATAACCATGAATGAATGATTTATTCCATTTAATTTGCTACATAGTACAAATGTTTACAATTTTTACTATAACTATTAAGTTTACAACATAAAACAACAGCACAGTACAAGGGTCAGGTCAAACACGCCAGTAATCAGCTGTGACTATAACTTCGGTCTTGCCATCTAACCTAACCTAGATTTAAAAGGTATTCTTTTACACAGATTTTAAATAAGTTGAGAGGTGAATCAAAAATGCTTAAATTATTAAAATAAGAGAAGATGTTACGAAACAGTTTATGAGATATGCAAAAGGAGTTATTTGAAGAAAAAGAATAATTTTTTTGTAATGTAGTGATACCAACTCTTTAAGAATACCTTGTGTTGTATAAATGTGCAATTCCATGCAAAATGTTGATTTTAATTTTTGAAAATATGAATATATTTTTTATGTAAAGTTGGCGAATAGAAAGAAGGGACATTTCCTCAAATAAAGTGACAGACTGGTATCGTCTGCATCTTCCAAATCCTATTTTTATCATGGTTTTTTGGGCAAAATTTAAAGGTTACATAATTCTTTTTATAACAGCCACCCCATTCTATGATTCCGAAAGACAACAATGATTGAACATAGGTGTGGTATGTCATTCTTATTTCTTTGAATGTTAGAACGTCACTCATTTGTCTAAAAGCAAAAATGAATTTTCTTATTTTGTTTTTTAAATAATTAATGTGAACGTTCCTTTTTAAACGCTCGTCAAAAAATACCCCCAAGCATTTGTACAAATTTACCTTTTCTTTGCACTCACAGTCACACACAATGTTATATTGATCACCACACTTGTGAATAATAAGGTCATGTAGATTGTAATCTGTTATCTTATTAATAGAAATTGGCATGTATTTTGTTTTATTAACATTTAATGAAAGTAAGTTTTATTTTCCTTACCTGCAGGAAAATAAGACTATCGTCTGCAAATAAGAAAACTTTTCAAAAAATATTTAACTTAGAGATTTATTTTTATTAATGTATAATAAGAACAGAATAGGCCTAAGGGTGCTGCCTTGGACCACTCCGTAGTCTACAGGCATTCTATCACTCGATTCACCACAAATTGAAACAACCTGGGATCTATTAGAGAGAAAACTTTTGAACCAATTAAGTGCTATGCCTCGAATTCCTAATATTTCCATTTTATTAAGTAATTTTGATCGATCCACTGAATGAAATGCTTTTTTAAGATCAAGAAAAATAAATATTGGGTGATTTTTATCAGAGATCGTGCTGTTCAACTCATTGTTAATGGCAAATAAAGCATCTGTCAAGGTTGGCGAGCCAGGGTGAATTAAACTCTCAGGTGACAAACAAATGACCTTTATTACACCCCAAATATTATGTAGTACAAACACACAAACTTAATAAAAAATGAACTAAAATACCAGGACTCAACTTTACATTAATTTAGAATAATTACTACATGGGAGCAAGATTTGATAGGACAAGCCAGACACCTAACCAGATGTCCGTTAATGTGTGGGCTGCCGTGCAACGTTTAGAGTTGGCACTTGTTGCAATGGACCATATCTGCTTGATAGTTCTCTATTACGCTTTTATTATTACCGGTGGAACCCCTGTGTATGTTTCTCCTTGCAGCTGTGTTTATGGTGTTGGCTGCATTTATGGATGACCAGCTTAGACAGTTTTATCGTGAATAAGGTAAATTTTGAGTTACTTCCTATTGCTAACTAATAATTCATATCTAGTTGAGTCCAGGTCTCTATGCAAGCATACTACAAGAATACAATATAAGCTTAAACTTGATAACACACATCTATGATATGGGATATAAGATACAATAAGAACGCAAAACAATAGCAATATGACACAAAAAAAAATGTTTCAACCAAAATCTATCTATTTAAAATTGACTAATTATAATTATGAATTAATATACACAAATAACAATCAATAAGATCAAATATGATAATCATACAAAGAGCTCATTCACCTTTAGCCCACAATTGTTCAGGTTCTACAACTTGTTGTTCAAGTTTTCGCATTAGGACTAAATCACACAGATAAGAAAAGATACATATATGTTTTTTTTTTTTTTACAATAGGCAAATCAAATTGACTCAATTGGAAAACATTCCTACTAAATTACTAAAACATCCCAAAATATGTTGACTAAAAATACACACAATACTTAGCACTCTGCTACAATGATGATAGAATGGTTTACATTCCTATCACACCAATTAACATAAAAACAAAACATCTCAATAAAAGTACACACACAATAATACTCCACAATACCATGTGTAATTAATTAAAATCCCTTACTCCTTTATTTAAGAAAAACGTATAAGTTAAATGAAAACAGAACATAAACACAGAACTTTATAAACATACTTAATACAGATACATTTTTACAATGAAAGAAATCAATACAAGGAATTTTTATTAAAAACAATTATATGCAAAACATACTTATTATCTCAACTCTTTCAAACACGAAAGTACTGTTCC